TCCTCTCTACTGGTCTCCCACCAGCACCATGACAGTTTACAAATGCCGTGGCAATGTCAGGAAGTTACCCTATGTGGTCTAAAAAGGGGAGGTATGAATCATCCACTCCTTGTTTAGCATATCACCAAGACATAACCATAAAAATTGGTAATCAGCAGCCCTAGGGGCTGCTCTATGGCGTAACCATTCTTTTATTCCTTTCCGTTTTTTTTTTGTGTGTGACAGAGTCTTGCCCTGTCGCCCAGGCTGAAGTGTAATGGCCCAATCTCAGTTCACTGCAACCTCCGCCTCCTGGCTTCACGCAATTCTCCTGCCTCAGCCTCCTGAGTAGCTGGGATTACAGGTGTGTGCCACCATGCTCGGCTAATTTTTTGTATTTTTAGTAGAGATGGGGTTTCACCATGTTGGCCAGGCTAGTCTTGAACTCCTGACCTCAAGTGATCTGCCCACCTCGGCCTCCCAAAGTGCTGGGATTACAGGTGTGAGACACTGCGCTTGGCCCCTTTACTTTCGTAATAAACTTGCTTTCACTTTGCACTGCAGACTCGCCCTGAATTCTTTCTTGCCCCTTGGCGTGAGTGACCATGACCCTCCTGTCACTCTCGGTCACATCCCTCGACATTTCCTTTCCTTGATCATGGACCTGGCCCAGGGAGCTCACTGAGGACTTGGAGAGCCCCATGCAGGGCCTGGGGAGGGCTCTGGGTCCCTGTGAGGGCAAGGGCCGCAGAACTGCACAGAGAGAGAGGCTGAGCCGTGAGGCTGTTGTCACCACAGAGGCCTCGGCCAGTCCCCGGGGAGTGCTGTAGCTGGGCTGGCCTTCAGAGATGTTTATTCCAAACCAGAGTCGGGGCTATGATGGTTAATTTCATGTGTCAACTTGACCAGGCCACAGGGTGCCCCAATTAAACACTACTCCTGGGTGTCTCTGGGGGTGTTTCCGGATGAGATTAGCATTCGAGTGGCGGACTGGGGAAGCAGATGGCCCCCAGTGTGGGTGGTCCCCCAACCCTCGAGGGCCTGAGTAGAAGGAAAGGCTGAGGACGGAGGAATGTGCCCCTGTTCTCCTGCCTCACTGCTGAGCTGAGACGTCTTATTTCATCTTCTCATCGACTGGTTCTGTTTATTTGGAGAACCCCGACTAACCCAGGGGCCTACACCAACACTGGCCCACAGTGGGTCACTGGAGATGGGCTGTTCCTGAGGTAGGGAGCAATCCACCCAGGAGACGGGGGCTCCAGGGCTCAGTGGTGAGACCAGATGGAGCCACCGCGCCCAGCGCAGCCCTCATCCCCTGGAAATGACTGTGTGTGTTTTCCATGATCTCCGTCCTCACGGGCGGGGGCTCCTCGCTCTCATTCTGTTCCTGGTGCTGACACAGGTTTAGCGGA